ACATAAAAGACAATTGAACACCAATGAACCCCAAGTGGCTCTTCTTCCCACATACGAACACTACATGATATGAAAATAGCTATAGGGAAAAAAGGCAGTATTGTTCTTTAGATCTGGTTTACTCCTAAGTATTTTTCTAATAAACAATCTTCTTTGGTTAAGACTTTTAAAATAGCGCCTTGGCCAGATAGCTCAGTTGGTTAGATCCTCATCCCAATACGCCAAGGTTGCAGGTTCGATCCCTGGACAGGGCATATACAGGAGTCCACCAATGAATGCATAAATAAGTGGAACAACAAATTAATGTCTCTAAAAATCAATAGATAAAATTTTTTAAAAAGGACTTGCTTCTTATCACATCCTCAAAGAGCACATGGAAGGAAAGAAATTGAACATGGTAAATTTTTCCACTGCATTTCCTTTAACCATAGCTTTTGAGCTGGATGATCAATATGAAATAGTGATCAAGGGCAATTGGAAATTTTAAGAAATAGTTGATTTACATCTTTTGATATAGAAGAAGCTCCATAAACAGTTTAACTATCTAATGAGAACCTCTACTTGTCTGGTTAATGGAAAGTGAAATGAAAAACTACCCAATCAAGATCAAATCTTCATACTAGTACGGGTCATCTGTCATTACAAACATTTCAAAATGTTAAAATTTTATAGCCCCTAAATCAAAACAAAAAGGCTATTCCAGGAACTCAGTCTGGTCAGTGATGTAAGATCTGGTGTAACTATCATAAGCTCTCTGATGATATACGTCCACTTCTTTCTACTAGGTTGAGCCTAGAATACAGAGGAATATCGTAGAATATTATTGGAGGTACTGAATCTTTAGTCTAAATCTGATTTCAATATAGGTCACTAACCACATGTGGCTTCTTAAATTTAAACTCAGTCAAATTTATAAATGTGGTCCCTTAGGTCACACCAGCTACCTTTTACATGCTCAATGGCCTCATACATACACCCGTTACCATATTAAACAGCACAGACATAGAATATTTCTGACATTGCAGAAAGTTCTACTGGACGGTGTGGGCTAAGACTCTTAAAAGCTAAAAGGAGACTTGAGAGCTCATTAATTTCAGCCTAAGCTTTCAAAGACATGTAAGATACACACACTGAAGATAAAAGAGGTTAACTTTTTAGACACTGATAAAACTTTTGGCCCTACAATTCTCCTTGTACGTTAAGTGGCTCTTTTTCCACACTAGCAAGAGGACCAAGACGATCCTTTCCCCTATTTGTGTACTACTGCCCCTGGTCCATCTAGACATCAGGCTCTGCTTTCCTCAGAGAACTATGACTCCTACAACTTTTAATTCTCACCCCACTGGCCAACTAGGCTCAACCTAGTAGAAAAAGGTGGGCTTATATCATCAGAGAACTTGTGATAGTGACACCAGCAACTTGCCTCTCACCAAGAGATCTATTCTTACTAGAAATACAAAGTCAGTGACTTTGAACTTTCCACCAGAAATGAATTTATTAATTTTATTAATTGAATTAAATAAGCTTAATTAAAGTTATCAAATGCTTTTATACAAGATGATCTTCACAGCTACAAAGAACAGACTTGACCTTCTCAGAATTTGGGTGAAGATTTACTAAAACTATGTACTTAGGAGCTAATGGCTATGAATTATGTGTAAATAAGTTTCTAGAGTGAAAACCCTTAAATATATTTTCACAATCTATGACACTGACCACAAAAACCCTGAGGCAGATTGAGATTTAAAGTCAAAAAAACCAAACTGACATATCTGATTTATTAAATGAAGACAACAACCCTAAAACAGCAAAATACTATTTTATAATTTACCTTTAAGCCTGAAGAAAATTCTACCATTTCTTCTGCTTGAACATTCCTTAGCCCATGTACTCGGGCAATACCATCACCAATACTTAAGACACGCCCAGTCTCTTCAAGGTCAACAGAGGTATCAGCTCCAAGAATTCGCTCTTCAAGGATAGAGGACATCTCGGCAGTGCCTATTGAGAGCAATTCCATTACAAATAATAATCTGGCCCCAGTTTCTTTTCAACACCTATTTGCATAACAACATGAATAATATAGTTTGTGATCACAATGATCAAATTATACTCCAAAAAGCAATTATGTCGTTCTATTCAAAAAAGCATGAGATCTATGAAAAAGAACCCAAGTGATTCAGAGAAAACTTCACGAGACAGATAAAAAACTAATAAAATTAAAATATCCTTAAAATAGCCCTAACCGGTTTGGCTCAGTCTTTGGACTCAAGGGTCCCAGGTTCCAGTCCGGTCAAGGGCGTGTACCTTGGTTGCGGGCACATCCCCAGTAGGGAGTGTGCAGGAGGCAGCTGATGGATGTTTTCCTCTCATCGATGTTTCTAACTCTCTATCCCTCTCCCTTCCTCTCTGTAAAAAAATCAATAAAATATATTTAAAAAAATAAAAATCATCATTCTCCCCTTTAGGAAAAAAAAAATAAAATAAAATACCCTTAAAAAATAAACTTGCAAGGGCAAATTCATAGATTAGCACCTAATGCCTTTGAAAAACATAGAGGAAAAAATTGCCTACTTTTTGTAATTTATTTTAGGAGAGGAAAAAAAATCTTTCATAGATCAGAAAGTGTGTCCACCACCTGCCATGTGCACATTCTGTTTCCACTCAACGGGACATTATCAGAACAAAGAAGCTATACTAACATCAAAAGAGAAATATATAAAACTGTAGTTCATTTCACTAGAACAAGCAAACCTACCAACATAGGACTAAATGGCACATTGTGGGTTAAGAATCTGAGGTTCTGCCAGGCAGGTGTGGCTCAGTGTCGACCTATGAACCAGGAGGTCACAGTTCAATCCATCCATGTCAGGGCACATGCACGGGTTTCAGCTCGATCCCCGATAGGTGGTGTGCAGGAGGCAGCCGATAAATGATTATCTCTCATCGTTGATGTTTCTCTCTTTCTCTCCCTTCCTCTCTGAAATCAATAAAAATATATTTAGAAAAAGAAAAAAAAAATCTGGAGTTCTGCAGTAACTAAAATTGAGAGAAAAAATTAACAAAATAGGGGAAAAAAGCCTGCAACAACTATGTAACTTATCTTTTGTTTAATGAGAAGGTAGTAAGTGTGGTGTAGATTTAGAAATAATGACTCACCAATCTTCTGAAGATGAGTGTTAGAGGCATGAAGATTCCTTGTAGCAATGAAGGATGATCCCAAAGCATTTTTGGAGACCTAGGGCAAAAATATATTTTTTTAAATCTGATTTTTAAAAAGACCTTTATAAAACTGGCTAGCTTGAATGCAAGCTTAGTTTGATCAAGTTATCTGTTAAGATATTAATTATACTCACAATATTTTGCTTAAAATTGGAAGACTTTAAACAGGTGAAAAAACAGTTTTTTGATATGTAAAAACCTATTTGCAGTTCCTGGAAATATAGTAACAGTTAAAAAGCACCTTTCCCTTTAAAGGTATCAGGCACTATTATTTTGACTTTAGAGCTATTTATATTAAAAAAAAAAAAAAAAAAACAATCAAGAGCCCAGCCAGCATGACTTACTGGTTGTGCATCCACCTAAGAACCAGGAGGTCACAGTTGGATTCCCGGTCAGGACACATGCCCGGGTTGTGGGCTTGGTTCCCAGCGTGGGGCGTGCAGGAGGCAGCTGATCAATGCTTCTCTCTCATCATTGATGTTTCTATCTCTCTCTCTCCCTTCCTCTATGAAATCAATAAGAAGAAATATTTGTTTTTAATCAAGAAAACAAAAAACTGTCAATGTTGAAATTTGATGAGAAACTATGCTGCCAGCGGTTGTGTTAGGGCAGTATGTCTATTTCACCCTTCAGGTTGAGACTACCTTTAAGATGGAAAAAGTAAGTAAATGTAAAAGCGCTAACACAGGATTTAAGTAAAGGTTATGTACTTATCTGAGAGAGAGAGAAGTAATGAAGGGCATTGACCTTCACAGGCATTTTCCAACCTCTGCTCTATTTCCCTCGAGTCCCCATCACTGTCTAACAATTCCTCACGGACGGAAGCTTAAAACCTGTCAAAGTGCCGCCACGCACGCTCTCCCGCTAGACGGGACCGCGCCGCAGCGGCGGGCCTGCCATGGTCGCGCGCGGTACCGGCCGCAGGAAACGCACACCCGCACCTGTGCCGGGTCTTCGCGATCTTTTCGGGGTTCAGCACTGGGAGGCCGCCCACCCAAGCGTTCGGGACACGCCCTTCATGTGCTGCTCTCCTCTGAACTGACCTCCGGGCGGGGTGAAATGCCGGGGCCCGCTGACCTTCACCGGCCGGGGTTCGCAGCTCGCTCTGACCTTCAGCGAGGGAGTCCCGGGGAATCGGCGGGGCCCGGCCACCCCGTTTCGGCTCAGGCTTCCGACAGCGAGCGCCCAGGCCCTGACCTTCACCCAAGGCCCCTCGCGCGCCGCTCTCAACCGAAGAGGGGAATCCTCCTGAGGCCCCATCCCTGGGCAGCATCAAGGTCACTGTGCCTCCTGCACCACTCTGCACCATCTCGCACGGATGGCGAACACAAGGGCCTTTCCGCCGCCCTCCTGCCCGGCCGGGCCCGGCCGGAGCAGCCAGCAGTGCAAGATGGCGGCGCCTGCCACAGCCCCTCACCCTCCTTGCAGAGAGAGCTCCCGAGCCAGCGCCCCACCATCACCCGCTGCCGCCCGCACGGGCCACCTCCTCCCGCCGGTGCCCTGCGCTCACCAGCCCTGCCCGCCGAGGGAGGGCGCGGGCTACGGCCGCGGCGACGCGCACGGACAGCATCTTTGCAGCTCCTGGAAGGTGCTCTGCAGCCGCAGCCTCGGACTGACTGGGACAAAATGGCTGAGCGGCGAGGAAGGTCAAGGCAGCCAGCCCACCTGACCCGGAAGTACCGCCCCTCGCTTTCACCTTCCGGATGCAAATCTGCTTTTCGCGAGGTGGGGGTGGTTACTTGTTTTGGTTTTTTTTAGGTATTATTTTTGGATGTAAATTTCAAAAGGAATGATTAGACCTTTGCCAGCGTCCGCGCGGGCATTGCTGACACATTTACTATGGTCTTTCCAGTTGACCTTGTGACTGCCCGGGGCGACCACGTGGGTAGCGGAACCAGTGGTGAAGCGGTTCCCTTGGCCAGATTCCGGAAACAGGTGGTGCTGACACCCCGTCCGAGGGCGCGGCGGGCAGGTTGACCGTGAGGCGGTTTGGAGGTGTCAGGTCTGAGGCTGTCGCTACGAAACCGTTTTCTACAGAAAGAGGTGATTCTCAGATCAATGGGGCCCCACCCCAGAACCTCTGTGTCAAACATGTTGGGCTCTGAATTTTGACAAGCACCCTGTGGACGACAGAGGGTCCACATACTAAACTTGACAAGCTCAGGGGAGACCTATGTGCGTGTGGTTTTAATGTGGAAATGTGTAAAATATCGTGTGTCTAATTTCCAGGGTTCCTGTAACAGTGAACAAAAATAAGAAATCACTTAGGAAAGTATACATTGCAGTAGCGGTATCAAGAATCACTCTCAGTGTTAACCACAATCACGGAGGAAGGAGAGAACTTTACATGGAAGAGTGGCAGCGCTAGCAGTTGAATGCTGTCAACAATTTTATTTTTATCTTATTTATTTTTTAATCCTCACCCAGGGATATGTTTTCATTGATTTTTCTAGAGGGTGGGGGGAGAGAAACATCGATTGGCTGCCTTTCGTATGTGCCCCACCGGCCCGGGAACTGGTATATACCCTGACTGGAATGGAACCTGCCATCTTCCGGTGTAAGGAAGGACGCTCCAAACAACTGAGCCACACCGGCCAGGAATGTCAGCTATTTATTTTAAACGTCTCCAGCACATTTAGCTCTTTGGTAGTGGAGATTAACGGGTAAAACTAAGGTTGCTGCAGTTTATAATGCCGGGGTAAAATAAAAAGTTTAAGCTAGTGCCCACAAACATCTGCTATCCAAAAAACAAGTTTCAGATTTTCTTTAAGACAAGCAATTCAAGTTAGTAGTCAAAATGTAAGAAAACACAGCGTGTCTCTATGCGATTCTATTCTCGTCCTGTAGATTATACCATGGAGCGCGGAGGGCGAGGCGAGGTGGCCAGCAGGGAGAGGCTTGCAGTGCTGGAGCCGGGCAGCAGCCTGGAGTCCGGATGAAAACTACAACTCCCAGAAGTCCCGGGCCCTAAGGGGCCGGACCCACGGCGTGTGGGCGGGGCCTTCAGAGCGAGCCCGGCAATTCTTCCGAGAGGATCTGCTCCAGAAGTGGCGGGAGCGGCAGTTATGGAAGCGCCGGAGGAGAAAGAGGCGCAGGTGATGGGGCGGGAGCGGGCCTTTGCTGCGTCCTAGAAGCGGAGTCTTTGACACACCCGCCCGCCGGGCGGATCTCCTGCCAGGTTTACTTACCTAGTCCGGGGGCCCATCTTCAGTCCCTCCTTCATGCTCTTTGATTCCCCTTTCTACTTGGACGGCCCTGGAAAGGCCCTTTCCCTTCCCTCCCCTGCTTAGTCTTGGGCTTGAAAGGGAGTTGAGGAGCCCCCTGGTACAAAATCCCTCCCAGCAGTCTGAAGTGGGACTTCTTTTTTAAAAAAATATATATTTATTGATTGTAGGAAGTAAGGGAGAGGGAGAGAGAGAGAAACATCAATGATGAGAGAGAATCGTTGATCGGCTGCCTTCTGCACGCCCCCACCCCCCCCCCCACCCCCACTGGGGATCGAGCCTGCAACCCGGGCATGTGCCCCCGACTGGAATCGAACCGGGTCCCTTCAGTCCGCAGGCCGACGCTCTATGCACTGAGCCAAACCAGCTGGGGCGAAACGGGATTTCGATTTCTGAAGGGGGATGCAAGAATGTAGCCTTGAGAGTAGCTTATCTTGTCCCATAGTTTGCACCCAGGAGCTGTTTGAATCAGAGGAGCCAACGATCTTGGGGTTTAATCACCAGGTACTTCTCTTAAACCGTGGAAGGCCATTGCAAAGAAAAGGAAAGGTCTTTTTTTGTCCTTACACGCTCCTGACCTGCCTCTGTGTCCCACATCCCAGCCCTACGAGCCTCTGTGCGGCTTGTGTATTGTGGACAACTCTTTTTTTCAAAGTTCGCATGGATACGAATGCTTTCGTTAGCACATGCATATTGGTCTTTTAAATTATTTGAGTGATGCCAATTATTAGCCTACATGCCGCTTTTGTTCCTTTGGGAAAGGACGGATTGTTTTCTGGTAATTTTGTTCCTTGTGATTCCTCGCTTATTTCCTGACATCTGGTATGTATCTTCTTAAAGACAAGTTAGGATGTGAAGTAAGCAGGACTTCAGAATATTCATAGAAAGCACTTTGTTGGCTTCTGATCGCTTATTTGTGATACTTGCTTTGTGCCATTGCAAACAAGACTTAAAGCATTTGTCTTCCTTTGCATGATTAGGTTGCTGCGTGGTTGAAAAAGATATTTGGAGATCATCCCATTCCACAATATGAGGTCAATGCCCGGACCACAGAGATTTTACATCACCTTTCAGAACGCAACAGGGTCCGGGACAGGGATGGCCACCTGGTAATAGAGGACTTGAAGCAGAAAGCAAGTGAATATGAATCGGAAGGTGAGATTAATTGCAGAGTTTTTGAATGAGATAACCAGAAGTAACCAGATTTTTTAAAGGGTGTCCCAAAATTCACACAAGATTTGAATTTTACGCCATTGGTGCCGAAAAGTGTTGCCAACAGGAAAAAAAGATAGCGTGACAGCTGACAGTTGAGGGTTATTAAAAATGGAGCGCTACACGAAAGAACAATGCGTTTTCATTGTTGAGCAATAGTTTAAAAATAATGAAGGTTTGGCAGCTACAGTTCACAATTTTCGTGCAAAATATGGTTGGAATAGTGATTTAACTTCATCAACTGTGAAGAGGTTAATTAAAAAATTTAAGGAGACTGGATCAATTAGTGATCTTAAACACTCTGGCCGTCCTTCAAGTCGTTCAACACAAAACATCGAAGCAGTTCGTGAGAGTGTTGCTGAGTGTCCAGGGACATCAATTCGGCACCGTGGTCAAGAGTGCGTATGTGCCAGCAAAGCCGTGGAGGCCATTTACCCGAAATGCTATTCCATACATAACCCTATACTGTGTACTTTATGAATCAATAAGAATTTACAACTTTTAATTATAAACCTGTGTTTTATATCAAAATTACTTCTTGCGTGAATTTTGGGACACACTTTAATACCAAAGTGTACAAGAGTAATTTAGTGTAGAAAAGTTTTTAGGGTTTTCTTGTTTGTTTTTAGAGAGGAAGGAAGAGGGAGAGAGAAAGAAACATCTATGTGAGAGAGAAACATCGATTGGTTGTCTCCCATACATACCTTGACTGGGGATGGAACCCACAACCTGGGCATGTGCCCTGACTGGGAATTAAACCCGAGACTTCAGTGTATGGGAAGATGCTCCACACTGGCCAGGGCTGATGTACCATATACATGAAATGTTCATAATAGACAAATGAATAGAGACAAAATGCGTATTAGTGGTTGCTAGGGCTTCATGGGTTGGGAATTGGAAAACGATTACTAAGAAGTGGGGTTTCTTTTTGGGGTGATGAAAATGTTCTGAAATTGATTGTATTGATGGGTATGCCACTCTTAATATACTAAAAGCCATTGAATTATAGGTATGTATACTTTAGGTGGGTGAATTGTATGATACGTGAAAGATTCAGTTAAACTGTTAAAAATTTAACATGAAACAAAACAAACATCTTAATCATCATAGAATTATTTTATCTTTTCAGCCAAGCATCTTCAAGACCTTCTCATGGAAAGTGTGAATTTTTCCCCTGCCAACCTCTCTAGCACTGGTTCTAGATATCTGAATGCTTTGGTTGACAGTGCAGTGGCCCTTGAAATAAAGGATACCTCAGTAACCAGGTAATTTTTATGATAGTTTTAATTTCTGTAATCATATATGTTATAAGGTCTTGACCTAAAAGACAGTTTCTCAGTGTAATTCTGTGTGGGAAATGGACAATAAGTGCCAAAACACTGAATTTAATTAACTTTATCTTTGTTAGTGAGTGTGTATGATTACTTCAGGTAAACTTGGTATTGGTTAAATTTTAGTGTTTTCTCCTTCCAGGATTAGGTTTTTGAAGTTTGATTCTCATGTATATTTGGAAAGGTATTGGGTATCGCTTACATTATTCCCTGTAAGTATACAATGAGAAAAGTCGTAGGCTACATCATCTGGTTCAGCATACTGAATTTTGGTTATGTTCCTACCCTACGGGGTGGAGTACTTTAAGGACCTTTATTCTTTGTTACAGGCATTTCACCTGTATAATGACATTATTCTTCCATTAACCCTAAGAGGAAACTGAAGTTCAGGAGGGGTGTTAAAGAACATCTCTGAGCTAGTAAATGGCAGAGTTGAGGTTCAAACCCTGTCTGACTCCAAAGTCTATATGAATACCACTGGTGGCCATAACTTAGCTAGGACGACAACTATAACTTACAGAGAACTATGCAGCTATTCTTCTTCATTGTCAATGTAAGGGCTTGGAATTTTTTTTTTTTTAATATATTTTTTATTGATTAAGATATTACATATGTGTCCTTGTCCCCATGTTACCCTCTACCCCCCCCCCCCCCCCGCTCATGCCCTCACCCCCCCGTTGTCCATGTCCATTGATTAGGCCTGTATGCTTGCATATAAGTCCTTTGGTTGATCTTTCCCCCTTACCCCCACCCTCCCCTACCTTCCCTCCAAGTCCCGACAGTCATCAGCTTATGTTGTTCATTATATTCCACAAATGAGTGAGATCATGTGGTATTTATCCACTCTCCAGTTCCATCCATGCTGTGGCAAAAGGTCAGAGTTCCTTTTTCTTCTTCCTCTTCTTAAAGAATACCTTTCAGCATTTCATATAATGCTGGTTTGGTGGTGATGAACTCCTTTAGCTTTTTCTTATCCGTGAAGCTCTTTATCTGACCTTCTATTCTGAATGATAGCTTTGCTGGATAAAGTAATCTTGGTTGCAGGTTCTTGCTATTCATCACTTTGAATATTTCTTGCCACTCTCTTCTGGCCTGCATGGTTTCTGTTGAGAAATCAGCTGACAGTCGTATGGGTACTCACTTGTAGGTAACTGACTGTCTTTCTCTTGCTGCTTTTAAGATTCTCTCTTTATCTTTTGCTCTTGGCATTTTAATTATGATGTGTCTTGGTGTGGTCCTCTTTGGATTCCTTTTGTTTGGGGTTCTCTGCGCTTCCTGGACTCGTAAGTCCATTTCTTTCACCAGGTAGGGGAAGTTTTCTGTCATTATTTCTTCAAAAAGGTTTTCAATATCTTGCCCTCTCTCTCCTTCTGGTACCCCTATAATTCTGATGTTGGTATGCTTGAAGTTGTCCCAGAGGTTCCTTACACTATCTTCATATTTTTGGAATCTCTTTTCTTTTTTCTTTTTCGGTTGGGTATTTTTTGTTTCTTTGTATTTCAAATCTTTGACTTGATTCTTGGGATCCTCTTGTCTGCTGCTGGATCTCTGTAAATTATTCTTTATTTCAGTCAGTGTATGCTTAATTTCTAGTTGGTCCTTTTTCATGTCCTCCATGGTCTCACTATACTTATTGAGGGATTCATTAAATTTATCGGCGGTTTCCATAAAATTCTTGAAAAACCTTATAAACGTGGCCTTGAACTCTATATCCAATCGTTTGCTTTCCTCCATTTCTGCCATTTGTGACCTGTTTCTTTGTCTCCGCATTTTGGCAGCTTCCCTGTGTTGATAGAGTGGCCCTGCGCGCCAGGTGTCCTGTAGGGCCCAGTGGCTCAGCCTCCCCAGTTACCTGGGGTGGACACTCTTGGTGCCTTGGTTGTTGTAGGATCACTGGGAGAAATTGACCTCCAGGGCAATTGGCTGTGAGAATCAGCTGTGTCTAAAGTGGGAGAACTTCTGTGCTGAAGACACCCTTCTGGGGCAAGACTTGCTTCAGTGGGGCTTTGGTGCTCACTGAGTCTGCTCCCTGAGTGTGTCCCTTATGGATCTGAGGAGTTGCAATCTGGATGGTCCCCCTCTGACCACTGGGTACAGTGGCTCCTGGATCTAAGGAGGTGCTAATTCAGCCTCTGCCTGAGGCCACACAGCAGGAGCCACGAAGAGGCTCAGCTGTGAAGCAATGCAAGCCGCTGCGGGGCCTTGGGCCTTCTCTTGGAAGTTCCGGGTCTGCCTGGCTGGGCTGCAGTTAGGTACATTCACATGCAAAAGCCTCTGCCGCAGCCTGGGTGGGGCGGGGTCTTAGGGAATCAAAGGGCGGATCAGGGAGCTATGGCTGATTCTCCGCCCGGAGTCACGCGTCTCAGTGTCCCGGTAACGGCTGCAAGCACCTCTGAGGGAAAGCCGCCCTCAAGTTCGCCCGCTGCCGGACAGACCAGCTTCTCCCCGTATGAGACCTGGGTCCCCAGAGACTTCCCGGAACCGGAGTTCAGAGCAGTCGGGAGTTTGTGATTCAAAAAGAGCCGCGTCCTCAGGTGCTACCCCCTTTCCTCGCGCGCGCGGGAGCCGCCGTACCTCTGCACTTCACCTCCGCAGCGCCTCTGGCTCTCAGCGTGCTTCTCTTTCCTTCTAGTTGTAGAATTTACACTCCTAAGGGCTTGGAATTTATTCATATGCTCAAGAGTAGTGTTTCAGGAATAAAAATATGTATATTGTATGGCAGGAGACTTCTAGACTTAAGTTAGTTTAGCAGACGCTAAATACTGGTTAATGCCATATACATAGCACTGGAGAAGCAGCGATGAATAAGATAGTAATTGCAGTCATGGTCAAATAAGGGAGGCGCATGTAAAAGTATAACATAGAGTGTGACAGCTGTAACATAACAAGAGTGTGCAAGCTGTAGCTTGGGCACAGAGAAAAGGGTGGTGAATTCCAGGATGGGAGTCCATCTTATTTGCGTTTTGAAAGACAGGGAAATTTGCCAGGTGAAGAAGGACTTTGCAGGCAATGAGAACAGCAGGTAAAAATCCATAGAGTTATGAAACAGCAGGGTTATGGAAGAATCTACATAAAGAGCAAATCATTGTTAGAAATGAGGAATAATTGCAATTATTGTCCTTGATGTCCATTTATGTGACCAGATTCTTTTTTTTTTTTTTTTTTTTTAGTTTTCTCTCTGCAGTGAATGATTTGACCTCTGATCTTTTTCGTGCCAAATCCAAAAATGAAGAACTCAAGCTTGAATTGGCAAAACTTGAAAAAAAATTAACTGCAAGTTTAGTATTAGAAAAATGTCTACGAGAGTAAGTAACTGAATTGGAAATGGTGACAATTTTTATTAAAAGGCAATAATAGGACTTTATTATATGTAGTTTTTAAGAAATGGGGTCCATAAAATGTTTTTTAAAGTAGAAAATGACTTGAATGGAGGTTGGGTATAGACTTTCACCTTTTACTTAATGTAATTTTTCCTTCTTTTTACAAATAACCTGGGTTTGTTCATTTTTTTAAATGTATGTGAATTTCCTTTTTTTTTTTCTTTTCTTTTTTTTTTTACTTATACACTACAAGGCAACTTAAAGTGCATTATAATTTGTTGCTCTTTTTTTTTTTTTTACACTAGTGCTCTACTATCTCTCTTGATGCTCTGGGTCTTTTTTAGGTCCCTGTTGTCCCAGAGATTAGATGCTACGGATCAGAAATATGTATATGCATACATAATTTGGTAGTGTGTAAATTTATTCAATAAATATTGACTGTGTATATGCAAGGCACTATGTTATGTCACATGCAGGAGAGAGGCCTTTTGGGATCTCCATAATTCAAATTGGCTTTAGAGTATTTTTTTTTTTAATATATTTGTATTGATTTCAAAGAGGAAAAGAGAGGGAGAGAGAGATAGAAACATCAATGATGAGAGAGAATCATTGATCATTGATCCCCACTGGGGATCAAGCCCGAAACCCAGGCAATGAGCCCTGAACCCGGGAATCGAACGTGAATCCTGGTTCATAGGTCAATGCTCAACCACTGAGCCACGCCAGCTGGGCAGTTTTATGGTATTTTTAGTCACTTTTTTAAGCAGCAGATTTACTTTCTCTAAGAATAATTGGTATAAATTAACCTTAAAATTATTTCATGTTTCTTGAGAAAAAACCCAGATAACAACATGGAGGGAAGGATGACCTAAAAGAATGCCTGTTAATTAGTCTGGGATATAAATTTTATGGTAGAAAATTCATCAACTATGTTATCTATTGTCTAATTCAGAGTTGAATCCAAAAAGTAATTGAGCTTTTCTTTTTAATAATAGTTTCACTGAGGAGAAAAAAATGTTTCAATTTTACTTTTTAAAGCGATCTCAAGAAGGCAGAGTTGCAGCTGTCTACGGAAAGGGCCAAAGTTAACAGTCGTCTTCAGAACATGGACTTCCTAAAAGCAAAGTCAGAAGAATCCAGATTTGGAATCAGAGCTTTAGAGGTATGTATGAAGGACTGAATAATGTTAGTTCTCTTTTTGACCTTCATTTCACACCTAGGCAGTATTACCAATCCTTTTTTACAGACAAGGGAACTTATATATATGGAATTACATATATACACATATACACATATACATAGCACTGGAGAAGCTGCGATGAATAAGATAGTAATTGCAGCCATGGTCAAATAAGGGAGGCGCATGTAAAAGTATAACACAGAGAGAAGACTGGTAACTGCCCAAGGTTTTCTAGCTGCTTAGCAGTAGATCCAGAATGTTATGGCCAAAGGTGATCCTGAGTGGGGGTGTGAAAGGATTGAAAAAAGACAGACAAGAGAATGAAAGCTGGGTCTCGGTGGGACGCTGCTCCCTGATGAGGAGACAGCGCCAGCGCCCACAAGCCGTGTCTTTATTTTATAGCAGATGCCACGAGGCAAAGTAGGGGCGTGATCAAGTTGTTTACAGCATTCTCGTGAGTTCCAACCCTACTCAACTACATGCACCTGAACTCCAGCACAAGGCACATGGGGCCACGTGTTTGGACCATAGGTTCAAGCTAACAACCATAGCTGTTGGCTATAATTGTGCTGGGAGGGCTCTGCCCTCCAGCTGGGACTTGCACGTGGCAATGAGAGGACCCTGTCCTTTCGTTAGTCTGAGGCTTGAGCCTGGCCAAAACACTGTAGCCTCACCCCACACCAGAATCCCTTACAGGCAGCCAGGCCCCGAAGCTCAGAATCTTAAGAAGCACTGTGCCCATCCTATCACAAATCTGTGGCTCTGGAAAGATTGACATGCAACAAAAAGGTGTTTAGACGCATGTTTCATCTGTGATTTGTAGCTTATCTTTACTGGATTTCTAGGTATATTGGTTAATAATGCAGATTTTGTAATCAGAGAAAACATGATAATTTCAAGAGAAACATCAAGAGTGCTTTATTCAAAGTAATGTCCATCGCTAGCTACACATTTCCCCCATCTTTCAGGTAATTTGTGGATACCGTCCCAATAGAACTTTTCTTGTTTTGAGGCAAACCATTCAGAGACCCAATTTTCCACTTCTTCCTACGTTTTTTTTTTTTTTTTTTTAATATATGTTATTGATTTTTTACAGAGAGGAAGGGAGAGAGAGAGAGAGTTAGAAACATCGATGGGAGAGAAACATCGATCAGCCGCCTCCTGCACATCTCCTACTGGGGATGTGCCCGAAACCAAGGTACATGCCCTTGACCGGAATCAAACCTGGGACCTTTCAGTCCGCAGGCCAATGCTCTATCCACTGAGCCAAACCGGTTTTGGCTTCTTCGTACGTTTTGAAGTGCTGCTCAGAAAGTACTTGTGCCATTGATTGGAACAAGTGGTGGCGGAAGCCGGTCCATCCTTGCTGCTTGACACAGTCGCTGCAGGGAAGAAACATCTCCACAGCATATGTTTCAAGGGACCTGGCATATATGGCATACTGTTCTTAATATGTTTGCTCACCTTCTTGGCGCTATGTGTTTTAACCAAGGTCACCTCTCCAAGAAAGATTATTTCCCCAGGTGGGGATTTTTCCCTGGAGTTAGGGAGGGAATAAAACCCCTTAACTAAATGCCAGGCGGGTAGTTAATCACTTTAACTACGAACTATCACCCTTAAGCTACATAATCTTTACTCCCTGGAATGGAGATAAGAAACGTCCTAACCTTTGGAATAGAAATTGACAGGATTAAAATCAACTGATATAAATACAGATGTAACAAGACAATAAAAGACAGAACTTGGCTGGAGATCCTGGCTAGAGATCCTGGCTAGCTGCTGATCAAACTGAACACTGTCTCCGTGTCATTTCTTCTTCACCAACTCCGTCCACACCTTTGGGGACCCCTGGACCTGCTGGGGTTGGACCCCAACAAAGTGGTAATCTGAAGGAGCAAGGTCTGGTGAATATAGCGAGTGGGTTAATATTTCCCAGGCAAGATCTTTTTTTTATTATTATTATTATTTTGGCATTTTTTTCCTATTACATTTTTTTTTTTTTATTGCTTAAAGTATTACAAAGGGTATTATATATGTCTCCTTCTCCCAGGCAAGATCTTTTAACGTGTCTTTAACTAGTTTTGAAGTGTGTGATGGTGCGTCATCATGAAGCAAAATTACTTTGCCGTGTCTTCTGGCACATTCTGGTTGTTTCATGATCAAAGGGTGGTTCAAATTGATTATTTGTTGTCAGTAGCGATCAATATTAATGGTTTCACCTGGTTTTAGAAGCTTATAATACACCACAACGCAGAGCATTGTCTTCTTTCCAAAGCAATTTTGCCTTGCAGTCAATGTTGATGGTTGACCTGGATCAATCCATGATTTTGTGTAGTTTGGATTCTCAAAATAAATCCACTTTTCATCACCAGTCACAATTCAATGCAAAAAAGAGTTTCTTTCGTGCTGCTGAAGCAACATTTTACTGATGACTTTTCAGTTTTTCATTTGTCTTTCATTCAGTTGATGTGGCACCCATTTTCCTTCCTTTAAAATCTTTGCCATTGCTTGTAAATGATCGGAAATTGTTTGCTGAGCAATGTTTAATCTTTCTGCAAGTTGTTTATGAGTTTGACATGCATCTTCATCCAATCATGCTTGTAATTGTTGGTCTTCAAACTTTTTTGGTTGACCTGGACGTTCTTTGTCTTTCACATCGAAATCATCACTTTTAAAGCATTTAAACCAAGTATCTTGATATGGAACAAGCTTCCTGAAGTATTCAGCAGCACTTTTCTTCAAAATAAAGTAATGAATTAAAACTTCCTGCAAATACTCTTTTTTTGGCATGAAATTTGACATTTTTAAGTGTAAAAATATCTATGACGTTAACACCTTCAGAAAATTTGACATATGAAGTTTTGAAGCTTATTGTCAATACAACAAAATACCATACATATCAAATCGCATCTATATCAACATATGTGTAATTCCATCTATTGAAAAAAATCTGCATTATTAACCAGTACACTTAGTATATGTTGAAAACATTTAATGATATCACTTTGAAAATAATTTTCTTAACTGAACCCCCCTTTTTTGTAACCGTAGGAGAAACTTTCAGCCCGAGGCATGGAGGCTTCTCTGTCTCATCAATCACTAGTAGAACTTTCAGAGGTGAGCTTGATTCAACCCAGTTTAATTTTCTTTAAAATCTTAGTGCACAATCTGCTTTTTTACTTGTTTCTTTTTGTAGAGCTTTATTCACTATTAACCTGATTTATTTTCCTTTACCTCTGTACTTTATGTTCATCAGCATTCATATCTTTGTTCCTTGTTTAGCTGTATATATCCTCACATTTGTTTGGTTTTCTTTATTACTATATGCTAGAAACTCTTTGCTGGAGTCAGTTATACATTATTGATTTATTTACTAAACAAATTTATTGAGGAACTATGTGCTGACCATCTAGGTCTTCCTCCTTTTTCTCTGTCAAAGTGCAGTAAAAACGCAGGCCCCAAAACTCCTGTTTTTATAAAGATTTTATCTGTTTTGGTGGGAAAAGGAAATAACAGGGACTTCGTGTTATTTTATTACTCTGTGTGTTTTGTTTGTTTGTTAATCCTCACCGAGGATATTTTTTTCAATTGATTTTTTTAGAGAGAACGGAAGGGAGTGGGAGAGAGAGAAACATTGATGTGAGAGAGACACATCGACTGGTTGCCTCCCAAACATGCCCCGACTGTGGCTGGGGATCGAGCTAGCAACAGAAAGGTACATGCCCTCAACCAGACTTGAACCCGAGACTTGTCAGTCCTCAGCCAACACTAACCACTCAGCCAAACCGTGTAGGGCTCTTCTTTAAATATATATATGTATTATTTCATTGGTTTTCCATAACCATTTATCCCCCCTATATATTTTATTATTCTTAAAATTTTTTTTATACTTTGATTTTTGGAATCTAAAGTTGACAATTCATAAATATGTATTTGAGATTCTAATTGTTCCCTTACATTTCAATTCCTCTTAATCACATTATTTTGGGTTCCTAGACAGCATACTTAATCCTATTTTTAGTAAATGGGAGTAAAACTCTTCTATTTTAAGCATCTTGTAAAGACTGTTGCCATTGGAAGTGAGTTTATCTGTTTATCTTTGAGCCATTATTTTAAATTTCTAGTGTTGATGCTTTACTATGTTTTATTTCAGAAATGAGCAGTATTTAATTGTGAATATCTCTGTTACTCTGTGACTTTGTTTGTTTGTTTTTTTTATCCCCAGAAACTGGCAGAACTAAAACAACAGACTATACCTTTGAAGAAAAAATTGGAGTCCTATTTAGATTTAATGCCGGTAATCATTTTTATGAATTAAAAAAAGAAGATGTCCTTTTTAGTACACACTAACTAAATGATCATGAATATAGTGAATCCATGCTTAAGGATTTAAGTTCAAGCTGAATTTCAGTGGGTATACCCTCTGTAAGATTTTTGACTTTTGAAAGGATCTTTGCATTTTTTTCCCCTTGAGCCCTAAATGAGGTGATATAACCTTTCCTTGTTTTGTTTTCCTTTAAAAGGATCCATCTCTTGCTCAGGTGAAAATTGAAGAAGCAAAGCGAGAATTAGTAAGTTCCATTTTTTTCTTCAGCTTTTAAAAAAGAAATAAAATAAATGCTGATAAGTTAAAGCTCCCTTCATCCTTCTTTCTTCCTCCTCAAAGCTAAACCATAAACCAGCGGTTCTCAACCTGTGGGTCGCAAACAATGAAAATACATCCTGCATATCAGATATTTACATTACGATTCATAACAGTGGCAAAATTACAGTTATAAAGTAGTAACAGAAATAATTTTATGGTTGGGGGTCACCACAACATGAGGAACTGTATTAAAGGGTCGCGGCATTAGGAAGGTTGAGAACCAAAGTTGCTGTGTATCATTCTCATGCATCTTTTAATACTTTTAGCATATGTATATATGTTCTTTTCCACAAAAAGAGTACATAGTGGTCTTTTATGTCTTTAAAATTCTTGCTTAGATTGTTTTCGGTGGAAAGGGTGAGCAAGTGAGACATAGAATATTCTAGGCAAAAGGAATTGGCCAATGCTCAAGAGCCAGAAATGGAGGGCTTTTCCAGGCTTAGGGAAATGATGAGGTCCAGCTGCCTGGGAGTATTCAATGGAAGATAGGACTGAAGAAGGCCAGTTGGTTTATGATGTAAAGGGCCTTTAGTATAAAGTGGGTGGGTTCTGTAGGAGACCAGGAAAGTTGCTGTTACGGAAAGTTGCAATTACGGAAGTACATTGTTTAAGGAGTAAAGGTCAGGAAAATCTACTCCTGTATCATTATACTAAATCATCTCTCTAAGGCTTTTCCCCTCCTTAGATGGCGATTAGATTGAAGAGTCTGAAAACTTCTGGGGCTTGGAAAAGGGGAGAGATGTAAAAGGAAATGTGTAAAAGCATGTTTAATATTTATACCAGTAATGTTGTTTTTTTAATTTGATTTAATGGGGGGTTTTATTTCCATTATTTTAAATAGGGGTAGAAGTTAGAGCACCTGTTTTATGTCATTCTTTATAGTATTTTTGGTGTTTCTTTCTTCCTTTAGGATACCATTGAAGCTGAACTCACAAAGAAAGTAGACATGATGGAATTGTGACCAGAGCCAAATAAACTTTGTGCTCCCGAACTAAGTAAATTAAATAGGACTTTAATCTTAAGATTAAAAACACCTTAAGAGTAATAAAATATATAGAGGGGAATAAATGATGATGGGAAAAATAAAATGAAAAATATATATTTAAAAAGACTTTGTTTCCTCTTGGTGTTCCTTGATAACTTAATGTCTGTGTTCTTAGCTGAGATAATGTCACTATTGATGGGATAGTGGTTTCTGCTATGTGTTGCATTTTTGTGCCCAAATACATAGCTTTCATAATAAAAATGTTGGTTTTCTATATTATTGGTGGTTCAGTGGCCCTATTAGGTGAATACAATGACAGTTGTCATGTAGTCACTCATTAGGTCAGTTAAGTGAAAAGAAAAGGTTCTCTGGCTCCAGTTGGTTTTCTTCCCTCTCCAGGGGTTTGCTTTCTGTTCAGCTCACCTGCCTACCTCCAAATGTTAATATATGCAGGAATTTAATTTATGAAAAAGATGGCCTTTAAAGTCAGTGATGGAGACAAGCAAAATAGAGACAGACTCATAGATAGAGGACAGTCAGACAGCTCCGGGGGGATGGAGGAATTGAGCTAAAAGAAAAAAAAACTCATGGACAACAGTGGTGATTGTGGGGAATGAGGAGGGTGCGTGGATGTGGAAGAGGGCATAGAGGGGATAAATGGTGATGAAAAAATAAAATCAGTGGTAGACAAGTGGGTAATTGAACACATGGTGTTAAATCCATAGTCACACCTTATATCAGGAGAGTTGCAAAGGATCAGAGATTTAAATATTTTAAAAAGTACAGGAAATCATGGAGGAGTTTTAATGTGGTTTTTTTTTAATTAAATCTTTATTGTTCAGATTATTACATTTGTTCCTCTTTTTCCCCCCCATAACTCCCCTCCTCCCAGTTCCCGCCCCACCCTCCGCCCTCACTCCCCACCCACTGTCCTCATCCATAGGTGCACGATTTTTGTCCAGTCTCTTCCCGCATCTCCCACACCCCTTTCCCCCCCAAGAATAGTCAGTCCATTCCCTTTCTATGTCCCTGATTCTATTATAATCAACAGTTCATTCTGTTCATCAGATTATTTATTCACTTGATTCTTAGATTCACTTGTTGATAGATGCATATTTGTTGTTCATAATTTGTATCTTTACCTTTTTCTTCCTCTTCCTCTTCTTAAAGGATACCTTTCAGCATTTCATATAATCCTGGTTTGGTGGTGATGAACTCCTTTAGCTTTTCCTTATCTGTGAAGCTCTTTATCTGACCTTCAATTCTGAATGATAGCTTTGCTGGATAAAGTAATCTTGGTTGTAGGTTCTTGGTATTCATCACTTTGAATATTTCTTGCCACTCCCTTCTGGCCTGCAAAGTTTCTGTTGAGAAATCAGCTGACAGTCGTATGGGTATTCCCTTGTAGGTAACTGAGTTTCTTTCTCTTGCTGTTTTTAAGATTCTCTCTTTATCTTTTGCTCTTGGCATTTTAATTATGATGTGTCTTGGTGTGGTCCTCTTTGGATTCCTTTTGTTTGGGGTTCTCCGCGCTTCTTGGACCTGTAAGTCCATTTCTTTCACCAGGTGGGGGAAGTTTTCTGTCATTATTTCTTCAAATAGGTTTTCAATATCTTGCTCTCTCTCATCTTCTGGCACCCCTATAATTCTGATGTTGGTACACTTGAAGCTGTCCCAGAGGCTCCTTACACTATCCTCGCATTTTTGGATTCTTTTTTCATTTTGCTTTTCCGGTTGGGTGTTTTTTGCTTCCTCACATTTCAAATCATTGACTTGATTCTTGCGCTCTTCTGGTCTGCTGTCGGGAGTCTGTATAATATTCGTTATTTCAGTCCGTGTATGCTTAATTTCTAGTGGGTTCCCCAATATAACATTGAGGGTCTCATTAGTTTTCTTGTAGATCTCATTAAGTTTATCGGCAGCTTCTAAACAGTTCTTGAGAGACCTTAAAAGTGTGGTTCTGAACTCTATATCTTCCATTGACAATTTTGTCCTGTTTCTTTGTCTCCGCATTTTGTTATGCTTCCTTGGTGCACCCCCTAGTGGTCTTTGTTCGAAGTCTTATAGTTAAATCTTGATTGTTGTAGCTAATACCAGGGAGGGTTTGACCTCCAGGCCAAGTGGCTATGAGAATCAGCTGTGTCAGCAGTGAGAGAACTTCTGTCCTCTAGGGAGGTGCTTGCTAATCTAGCCTTTGCCTGAGGCTATCCGGCAAATGCCTGTGTGCAGGGCTTGGGCGGGGCGGGTCGAACAGGATCAACAGGGTGGGCCGGAGAGAGCAGTTATGGCGGCTCTCAGTCCTGTCCCCAGGGGCTCTGCCTCTCTGAGTCCCAGCACCCGCTGCAAAGCTCAGAGAGAAAGCTGCACTCACTCTGACCGAAGCCAGACAGTCCCGCTTCTCCCGTTTGAGTCTGGGTCCCTAAAGACTCGCCCGGATCTGGAGCTCAGAGTCTGCGACTCCCTCCCGATTGAAAACAACAACCGCGCCCTCCGCTGCCAGCCCGCTCTGCGCACTCCGCACCTCAGAATCTGACTTCAGCACTGCGCCTCCTCTGAGTGTCCGTATGCGTTTCTCTTTCCTCCTAGTTGTAGGACTTCCACTCAGCCAGCGTTCCTGTGGTTCTGGGTGATGTCCCTTCCGTCTTTTAGTTTCACTTTTGAAGTAGTTGTTCAAAGCAGCAAACTCCGGCGTTAACCTATGCCGCCATCTTGGTTCTCCTCAGGAGTTTTAATGTTTTGACTTTTAAATAGTCATAGAGTCAGACACATGACAAAAACCCAGGAACCATAAATGAAATTTTTGAAATATTTAAAATTCCTGCATGGCAGAATCTTTCATGGATATGACAAATGTGCAGGGAAGAAGGAAGAGAATTTTTCACTGTGTACCTTTTTTGTATTTTTAAACATTTCATACCATGTGATTAGGAAGCAATTAGTTTTTTGAAAATTATCTAAATGACCTTCAAAATTTAGCCGGTTTGGCTCAGTGGTTAGAGCATTGGCCTGTGGACTGAAGGGTCCTGGGTTCAATTCTGGTCAAGAGCACATGCCTGGTTGTGGGCTCAATTCCCAGTAGGGGGCGTGCAGGAGGCAGCTGATTAATGATTCTCATCATTGATGTTTCTTTCTCTCCCTCTACCTTCTCTCTGGAATCAACAACAACAACAACAAATATATATATATATATATATATATATTTAAAAATTTCTTTTCCACAAATATGTGGCTAAATATAATACAAAAAAAAGTTGCATTTTCATTTTTTGAAACTGTCCATATTCTTTAGCCATTTAGGTATCATGGTTTGGTCTTTTAATTTATAGGAGTTCCTTATATAATAGCTAAATTAATCTTTTAGTCTACCAGACTGCCGGGAACCAATTCCAGCATGTCATAATTTCAAGAGTTTCATCAAAAGGTTGATGAAACTTGGGGACTCAACAGGGTTGAATCACACATGTAGTCACGTGTTGGGAATGGCTAAAGGCATTTTCCCAAACCTGAATAGGAAACTGATTGTGGCTGCCAGATAGTTAAAGGACACCTTAATCTACATATTATTGCCTCCTACTGGCCAAACACCTGAACAGCTGTAGGCTATTCCCCAAACTGACAATGCTTCTGTACCCTTTGAAACCTTACTCTTTGAGGTGTATTATCTCCACCTTGCCTTAGGACAAATTGTGTTAATAAAAGCAAGGGTCCTCGACAAGGAGGTGGTCTTCAGTTCCTTTAGCTGAAGGTCCTCTGACCCCCAGTGCCTTTCAAAATTATATCTCATCTCTGGACTCTTTATTAGTCTCTGGATTTCTATGTCATCTACGCGCAGCCCCTTTTCCAGATTCCTGAACCCTTCTTGATGCTGGGACATAAATCCCAACACCAGACTGTATTCAGGATCCCAAACTTTCTTCTAGGCCCATCTGTGCTCTTCCTTGTCAAACCACTTCTAGCAAGAACTATATAACCAGGTAATATGTAGTGAATACTGAATTACCTTATGGGGGAAACTAAGTAATTTCTGGCCAGACAATTCATATATGCAAATTAAGTTCCGTAGGGTTCAAAGATTCAAACACAACAGATGAAATAATAAGTATATTAGAAAAGCCACTGGGAGAATTTTGAATCTTAAAGAAGTGGCATTATGAGTAATAGGTATGTTTAAGTAATATACTGTAGGTCTAAAAGGCTTCAGAAATAAGAAGACAAATAAAACCAAACAAACAAATAAAACTGAAAAAGGGAGAACCAAGATGGCGGCATAAGGTATAAACCTGTACGTGCTGCCCCCACAACCACATTAAAATTACAACTAAAAGACAAAACAGCTATCATCCAGAACCACGGGAAAGCTGGCCTAGTGGAAGTTCTACAACTAGAAGGAAAGAAAAAAGCACATTGAGACTGGGTAGGAGGTGCAGAGGCACCAAGAGCAGAGGTACGGAGGCGCATGCAAATGCGAACTGCAACTGGGTGCGCAGTTTTTTTTGCAATCAGAAGGGGATACAAGCTCCCGAATGCACTGAACTCGTTTAAGGTGAGACTCTGGGGACCCAGACTCCTACGGGGAGAAACTGGACTGTCTTGCAGCGGGTTGGAAAGAGAGGGTGGCTTTCTCACAGAGCTGCTCGCAGGGATCATTGTTACTGTGGGGGAGTGGGACTTGGGGATGCAGAGACGCGGAGATTCGAGGAGTCGTGGAGGCAGCTGATGACAGCCATTGCTGTTTGCTCCGCCCTGGTGATTCTCTGAGACCCCGCCCCACTCAAGTTACATCCCCACCCAAGCTGTGCGCAGCAGGGCAAAGGAACCGCCTGCCCTTTTGCAGCCTAACCTAACAAACTGCAGCTGGGTCAGAGAGCTCCAAAACTTACAAACTCCAAACAAAGAGGAGAAATCTGCTGATATCGCTGTAGCTCCTGCTGGGTGGACTCACACAGTGGTTGACTTGGAGACCCAGGAGCCAGGGTACCCAGTGGTCAGATACCAGATTTCAACTCCTCATATCCATAAGGGACACACTCAAGAGGCAGACTCAGTGAGCACCAAAGCCCCACTGAAGCAAATTCTACTCCATAAGGGTGTCTCCAGCACAGCAGTTCTTCCA